GCTCGCTCTTTGGATCAGCTCCTCATCTCACATGTACCTTAACATAGCTTCCATTAGGATCTGCTCCAATATCTTCCCATGCAGAGACGTAAGGCTGTAGCTTCCAAGGTCTTCTCTTCTGCCTATCTTAGAAATGCGACTGAGGTTTCCCTTTTCTATTCACCAGGACTTTGTCTGATAGTTGTCACTTCTCAGATGTGATGGAGAGTACCTTGGCAAGCACTGAAGTCAGCTTCATCAGAACCCTGTAATCCGTGTTATCTGGGCCAACAAAACGTACACATTCACTCTGATGAGGCAGACTGACTTGCTCTGCTCTTACCGGGAGGTGTTTTGCTCCTCTGATCCCCACCTGGATGTTCAGGGATATGAGGTGTGGGAAGCCTGAGTGTCAGTGAAGAAAGAGGCAAAAAAAACACCATTTGTATCTGTTGATGCCAATTGTCCCTTCTCATTTATTGGAAGGGGCACAATGTCCTTTGCCTGTCTCTTCTGATCAGTATACTTACAGAACCCCTTCTTGTTATTTTTCACTCTGCTCAATTTCAGCTCCATTGGCACCTTGTTTCTCTGATTCTATCCCTGCGCGGCTGGGCTGCATATTTGTCTCTAAACTGAAGAGACATGAATTTGACAGAAACATCACTTCTTGTATAAGCAATTGGCTGGATGGTCACATTCTGACTTGTGGTCAACAGTTCAATGTTGAGGTGTGCCTGCAGCCCAGAAAGTCAACTGCATCTTAGGCTGCATCAAAAGAAGCGTGACTAGCAGGCTGAGGAAGGTGATTACAGTGGTCTTTCAGTATTTAAAGAGAGCCTGGAGGAAAGATGGGGAGAAACCTTTTATCAAGGCATGCAATGGCAGGTAATGGTTTTAAACTAAAAGAGGGAAGATTTAGATTAGATATAAGGAGGAATTATTTACTCAGAAGGTGGTGAAACACTGTTATAGAATGCCCGGAGAAGCTGTGGATGCCCCATCCCTGGAAATGACCTAAGGCTGTAACAGACCAAAGAAAAACACTATCTGTGGTATGTCTGTAATTGTCTCAAACACTTGCAAGATGAGACCATCACCATGACAACAGGTTAATGGCTGAAGATATGGTCAGAGGAGGAATCCCCGTGGAGACATGCTCTGTACAAAATTCCTCTGTTCCAGCAGAGTTGTTGACAGCACACTTGTTATCAGTGAACTTACTGACACCAAACTTGCTAATGATAAACATCACAAATCTAGCAGGCAAAAAGGATGTCTGAGGAAAGTTTGGGGGAAGACTTCAAGACTTTGATACTTTGAAACTTTGGAACTTCTGAACCAACACTCTCACAGACCAGGAACCCCACACACACTTCGGTGGAACAACACTGGAACCCAGATAATCCCTATCATAATTTCTCTCTCTCTCCTCCACTCCCTTCTTTCTCTCCCTCTCTCCTGCCCCCACTCCCCACCTCCCTTTTCTATCTTTTCCCTCTTAAAGTTGTTAAGTAATGTAAGACTTATTTTGATTTCTTATAAAGTCACACAGTTTAGCCACAAGGCTTAGACAGGTATAATTTAATAGTGCCAATATTTTTAAGATAATTTTAGTACAGAGATTCTCATTAAAATTGACAATTGTATTTGGACCTTGAGTGTTGGTTCACCTTATTTTAACTGAGGAGATTTGCAAACTGGTCACCTCTCTCTCCCTTCATAGGTAGGACATGAAAAAGGCCATGTTGGATGGAATTTTGAACAATTTGATCTAATCAAAGGTGTCTGCCCATAGCAAAGGGGTTCGGACTAGATAATCTTTAAGGTTTCTACCATCCCAAACCATTCTATGATTCTTTGATTCAATGACTTTTGTGAAGGAAGGTAGGGAGGAATGAAGGCCAAAAGGCCTGAATACCATCAAAAAAAAAAAAAAAAAAAAACCCACATTTACTTTGGAACAAATAAGCAGCAGAAACTGGGTATTAGATATGTGTAGATAGAAAAATTACTTTATGTTTTCTTATGCATATTGAACAAGACATACACAGAACACTTGCATGTGAAACAGAGTGGATTCTCACTGAGTAATTACCTAGCATGTAGCCTCCCAAAGCATGGATGCCCTGTATGCATGGCCTGGGAATGCATTGGCTGCTAATAAGCTACTTAAGTGTACACAGAGTTGATGATAAACCCTGTGTGGGATGCATCTGTTTATTTAGCATATGGGATTCTGAGTGACACAGATTCTCCCTCCTTGAAGCAAAAGCTGGAAGGAGACTTGAAGTAGGGAGGTCATATTTCCTACAAAGGTCTAGTCACAGGATGCCATTTTCTTTCAAGCTGTATGACATTACAGATAGAAATACTTGCAAAAGGAAAGTGAGGCAATGCCTTGGAAGTTTCCTCAAATATTCTAGTAGAGTCTGAAAAAAAACCACCACTGTTCCAGAATTTTTTTTTTTTTTTTTTTTTTGAGGAAGGAAAGATACCGTAGCTGGCAGGTGCACATAAAAATCTATTTTAAAGGATGGTGTTTATCCATGACATTTTCATTCCCTTACACACATACAGACTCAATTAATCTCGCCTTACAAAAAAACAAGTCTGACTTCATAGATGCAGTTTGCTACTTTTTCAGTTTAAAAGGATACAAAATACTTCATTTTTCTTTGGTATAAGACTTTTTCTTCCATAATCTCTAAGTGAATAAGTTTTGCTGCAAGACCTACTCAACAACATTTTTTTCTGCACTCCTTTCCTGTAGGTTGGTCACTGCTTACAAGAAAGAGCAGCAACAAAGTCCAGAGATGGCACACCTGGCCCTATAGTATGTCACATGGGAATTTATTTCAAGGGATTATTAGTATACAGGAGCTCTATGTCTTACTGTAATGCTTGAAGAACTTAGCTTGCTTCCAATTTGTTATAATTGCAAAACCAAATCTTAAAATTGTATTCTTTGTGTTTTCTTTCAAACAAAAGAGATCAGCCCAAACTTTTGCTGAATCATTTGAAAACCAGCCCTATGCTGTGGAAGTATGAGCAGAGAAACACCAGAGGCTGGACTTTTTCAGAAAACACAGATTCTACCCCTGCACCCCCACTCCTGCAATTTGCAGGGAACTACAAGCATGTAACAAACAAAAATCTGTAAAGCCATTTTAAGGTCTTTTTTTCCAAATGGAAGATACTTTCATTGTTCATGCTTCATTCAACTTTCCTACTGTAGACTGTTAAGACACTACCTTGTTGTGCAGAGGGCAGCATTTTCTTGGATATTCACTATTCCTGTAATTCCCAGAGCCACCTCCTATCAGATCATCACTTACCCTTCCTGCTCATCCCAATATGTACTGGCCAGATCTAGGCTGGACTTGTCATAGACACACAAAAAAGATCCACTTTGTTTTAAGACAGAAATTACCTCTAACACTAACAAGAACTGCAATGTTTTGGCTCTTGCCTCTTGGGGAGGTTGGGTCTTCTGCCTATTCAAAAGATCAAAGCATAATGTTTACAGCAGACCTGGACTTAGTAGGAAAGAGTCATTGCCCAAAGGAGGGAGGCAAATCTGCATAGGCCTTCCCTTGCTGCAGGACAGAAGGGCTGCAGCTCCCCAGCCCTTCTGTTCAGCCAAAACACTGCAGATCATGTCAGTGTTTGAGGTAATTTCTGTCTTAACAACAAAGTGGATTTTTTGTGTGTCTAAGACAGGTTCTCCCTACCCAAACAAGGACACTGACCCTTCACCCAGTCATGAGGAACACCTGAGGTTTCCTGGTTAAGCAGAGCTAATGTTTAATGGCAGGAGGAGAAGAAACCAGGCAAAGCTGAAAAGATTTAGCATCGCATGACAGTAAATCAGAGTGAGCATTCCTGCTGCAAGTCCTGTACTTAGATCTGAAAGGATTAATGCAGCTTAATCTGGTGTACAAAGAACCAACAGCACAGGTCAGCCCAGCTGTTGGTGCTCTTACAGAAAGGGGCCTCTGGACATCATGTAATTCCAAACCGTGCTACAGCAGGTTTTACGGGAAAGCGTCCATACAGGTTTTGAGTATCTCCAGAGAAGGAGACCCCATTGCCTCTCTAGGCAGCCTGTTCCAGAGTTCTGTCACCCTCAAAGGAAAGAAGGTTTCCCTCCTGTTCAGATGGAACTCCCTATTGTTGGAAGTATCCAAATAATTTTTGTCAGGACGGTATCTCTGATAAAAGCAGATTTTATTCACGATTGCAATGGCGGGCATCCTGCAAGCAGGAGCACACCTATGGACACAACATGACAGTTTTTATACCCTGTTTTCCCCCCTTTGCCTCCCCCCCTCCTGTTTCCCCACTGGCTGGGTACTCCAGGTTCGCAATCTTATCAGAAGGTTTACATCTGTTAATTTATTTGTTATCTGGTGTCAGTCCTGCCGTCTCCAAGATGTCTCAACACTCTTCTTGTTCATATTGATATGGTGATTTTCTTCAGAGTCTTTGCTAAACAAAGGGCACGGAGGGGAGGTGCCCGATCTTCCTCAATACCTTCTTCAGGCACTCCCCGAGGCACTTAACGAGTTGTCCTTTTAATTTGCGCAGGATACTCTTGCAATGTGTGCGGCAGATATTTTCAATGCTGGCTATACTCAAATTGTTACTAGCTTATATATACATATCCTTTAATTCTCTATTCTTATAAATTACTCCATCTACCTAATCTCTACGGATATATATATACACATAGATATTACTTTACTTATATACTGTGTATGTGTTGTTGGGGAAGATTTATCTGGGGGATCAGCAATGAAAACTTATCAGAGAACCCCAATGAAGTAGAAAGGCACCCTGAAAAGAACTACTAGTTCTAATAAAGGACCCAAATGGTAGCAGATGCCATGAAATCAACAAAATTCTTATTTTGTTCTGATGCAGAAACAACACGCTATGTTCCAGTTTGTTCACACCGTCCCTCGTTCTGCCACTGGGCACTGCCGAAGCGTCCCATCCACTTGACTCCTGCCCTTTAGATATCTGTAAGCACCGCTGATCCCCTCTCAGTCTTCACCCGGCTAAACGGTGCCAGGTCACTCAGCTCCAGGCCCCGCGGCCCTCAGGCAGAAAGGGGGCCGGCCGCGTACCACGCGGATCGCACAACAGCGACGCCGTCACGCCGCCTTGCGACCCCGCCGCCTCAACGTTGCTCCTCCAGTGCGACAGGGGGCGCCAGCGCTGCTCTGCTCTCCCAGGAAAGCGCGGCCCCGCCGGAAGAGGGGTGCCATCGGGACCGCCCCTTCCCGGATCGCACGGCCCTCGCTCGGCTCCGGTGGGGTGGGGCTGGCCGTTAGCTGTCGGAAGTGGCGGCTGGGAGCGGGTCGGCCCGCTGCCCGTGACGGCTCGCCATGCACCCGCGGCGCCCCGAGGGCTTCGACGGCCTGGGCTACCGCGGGGGCGGCCGGGAGGAGCCGGGCCCGGCCGTCAGGCCCTTCGGCGGCGCCGCGGAGATGGGTCACTGGGTGACCACCCCGCCCGACATCCCCGGCAGCCGCAACCTGCACTGGGGGGAGAAGACTCCGCCGTACGGGGCCGGGACGCCGCTCGGGGCAGCCGGTCTCAACGAGGAGCCCGGCCTCGGGGCGGGCGGGCCCGGCGCCGGTAAGGAAGGGCCCGGCTCGGCAGCGCGGCCCGCTCCCCTGCCGCCCGTCGTTGGCGGGCGAGGGCGGGCGGTGCGCGGGTGCGCTGCGCTGACCTCCGGGGTCCGGGGCTGCCGAGCTCGTGGCCGCGGCTCCGTGTAGGACTGAGGGTGCCCGAGCGCTACGTGCGAGTCATGGCTAAGCGGCGCGCGGTCGACCCCCCTGTGCCCGTGTAAATGATACCTTGCGGGCGTGCTCCGCCTCCTGTGAGGGTAGGAGGTGGCTTGGAGTGTTTTGTTGCTTAGTGGTAGCGTTGCAGGCAGTCTTGCGGTCGCTGTGTTGTTTTGCTGAGTGCACGAGGGTGGTTGCACCGACTGTGGGGGGGACAGCGGCTGTCATGCATGGTGGTGAAGGAGCGGGAGAACTGACGGCCTTTTCCATCTACTGGTATGCGAGAGTAGAGACCTTTATGAGCACAGTATCGTTTTATACCAGGTTGAGGTGAACCGAAAGAAACTTTCTAAACCTAAGCTGCTTTAATTAAAAGATGATCTGTAGTAGTTTATATGCACTTAAGCATCAAAGCTTTGTGAACAGCTGGTTTAGTTAAAGCTTCGTTTGTTAATGGGTGAATCTTTTTTTTTCAACCTGCAGTACTCTGGATTTTTAGGGTTGTCTGTGTACAACCCCACTGATGAAATGCAGTGTACCGCACTGCTTCTTCATAGATATTCTGAATGTACCTTTTCCTGTCCTATCTACTCCCGGTCATTACGTTGATTCTACGTGTTAAAGAACTGATAAGGATTTGCTGTATCATTGAGTCCAGTCTCTGCAAGTAGAAAGTGGCTTATTGTTCCTCGTAGGAGAGCTGCTGTGTCTCTGTGAAGCTTCACTGGGACTATCTGTGGTTGCAGTCTGCATTCACCCAGTAGTTTGGACATTAATTTTCAGTTGCGTTTGTAGTTCTTAAATCTCTTCTTAAAAATAGTAGTTCCCAAGTGTAAATATGTGGTAACAAACAACAGGTAATTGAACCCACTATTCTATTTGCAGCTTTAGTGTTTTTTAGTAACTACTTTTTTAGCAGAGAAGTTGAGTTAGAAAACTGATTTGGAAACTCTTGATATTTTTTTATTACCTTTTCCAAAGTTTCCCTTTATACTGTTCTTGGTTTTAAAGTTAATTCTGCCATAAACAGCTAATTTTATACTTCAGAATTGTTGTAGACTTGTCATGAATGAAGTTAGCCTTTTTATATATTAAAAGGTTCAATTTTATGAACTTCTTGTTCACTTTATCTCCGGTAGTTGTTTTAAATCTTGTTTCTGAAAGTGTGCACAAATTCAAATGCAGTCCAAAGTACATATATTCTTGGGTGAATCATTTTTTATATCTTCCCTTGCTGAATTGCCAAAAATGTTGTGGTTTAGTGGCTGTATCTTTTTGTACAGCATAAAATAATATGGAGCTATTTGTTCCTTTTTGGTTGTGGTTTTCTTGTTTGTTTGTTTGTTTTCAAATGGCATTGGCATTTTTTCCCTCTGTATATAATCTCCTCTCTATATAATCTATTTTTATTTCTTTCAGAGCAGTTGAACAGGTTTGCAGGCTTTGGTATTGGCCTTGCAAGGTGAGAATTCTGTATTGCTTTCAAGCAGTTGTGATATAGTAAAGCTATATTTGTTTTATGATCCTCACGTATATTACCTGTGTTATTTTTATGCCTATAGACTTATATAGTTGAAGTGCTTTTATGAACCTGCTATTTAAAATCCATTTAGGTTTCTGTTACTTAGTTTTTCTTAGAATTACTCCAGGAGCAGTGAATTTGAAACTTCTTCAAATCTGAGAATAGCACAGGTGTTTATTTTCATCCTTCTATTAACGTATTTATGTAACATGAATGTTTCCTAAGAATATGCAAATACATTCACCATCGGTGTTTTTGAATCAGTAACGTTAACCTGACTAGTTGGTCTAATTTTATGATTTTGGTAATACTAACTACTGATAATATTTGTGAAAGTAGTGGATTTAAAGTGTTTAATACTGTTTTCAGAACCCAAAATTGTCTAGTCTAGGTATTGTGATAAACTGGGTGTTTTTTTTTTTAGAATTCCTGCTCAGTCACACTCAGCTGATGAGTTTTTTCTTGGTCACTGTACCGATGGATCTTGTGAAAGGGTGGGAGGTGGTTTTCTTGTCTCAAAAAAAAGTAATGAATAAAAAAAAGACTTATTCCTTGTGGAATGTGAGATTTGCTTTACCTGCCTGTGAAACTTCTAAAAGTGCTTCTCTCTTCAGAAAATTGGAGTACGTATGTTAGTTGCCCAGTTAGCTCAGCATAGGAAACTGCATCTTAAGTTTTTTGGGCAGCTGAGGTTCTTTTGACTTCTGCTAAAAGTGAAACAAATACTTGCAACTTAATCTGTTTCTTCCCCTACTATTGTCACTTTTGATGCCTTTCAGAACTACTTTTAACTGATTTGAGGTGGTTAAAGTGAAAGCAAATCAGGGAAAGAGCTGGATGACTTTTTGCTGTTTTGGTGAGGCAGGTTGATTTCACCTTGGAGGTGACTCTGCAGGAGCCAGTTAGTCACCTAGAAGTAGTACCAGCAATGGACCAGAGAGGGGAGGGATAAAGAAGAGGAAATAGGAGTGACCATTTCTGGCGAGTAATGAGTTGCTTAAATTAGGTCATCTCATCTCATGAAATTACCTGTCTCCCTTTTTCCACTGTTTCCCTTGCAATGATTCAGCTTGCTCACTGCTCAGCCTTGTTATTAATGTTGAGGTGGGAGGAAACTGCCAAACATGTTAAGAGTTGTTTAATTTCTTTTCAACCTGATGAAGCTAATGAATTCAGATGAGAACAGCAAAGTGTGGGGCCATATGTCAGGATGATATTCATTTCCTTCAGCGGAGTAGAGGTGTTAGCATGTTTCAGTAGTCCTTTGGAACCATGTATTTCAAGTTAAGCGTGATGAAGTTTTTTACATATTCAGTACCAGGGCTTCTAGAACTTTAAGGTGGGCTTGTGGTTTCGAGGAAGAGCTGATGAATGTTGTACCATTGCTGAGACCAGTTCTTCCAGCTTCTGCATTTGCACTACATCAAGTGCTTGTCAGACACCCTGTGATGTGATTCATATCAGAAATCCTGTAAAAAACACCCACAAAAAAAGGGTTACTTTCTGTCAAGTTAGCTGAGTTGGCTATGAGAAAGGCTGAATAGGTAGCAACTGGAGTGTGAGGAAAGCTTTGCCTTACTGGTAGAAGCAAAATATGAATTAGCTCAATATCTTATGAAACTTCAGACTTAGTTTTTTAGGGTTTTTTGTTTGTTTTGTTTGTTTGTTTGTTTGCTTGTTTTTTGCCAATTAATACTTGCTTATCCAGAGTAATATCCCTCCTGTTAAAAATCAGCTCCAAATGGTCAAGTAAGTTGGTGGTCACAGATGTTACCTAAAATGCTCAGGCAGAGTCTGGAGGTCTTGATTTTCTCATCCTTATACTGGATTTGAACCACGTGCAGGCAACTGTTCTTATCACTTGGATATTTTCAGATGACAAGTTTCCTATGTGACTTTGGCCAGAAATTTTATGTTAGAATTCAGAGATTTTTCCTATCATAGTTTGATTTCAGTACTGTTTCTCAGGCGAGGAAGAGGAATGCTGTTTTGGGGGAGTGTGTTTTTCTAATGAAAAAACGTGTGACTGAAATTCAAAAGTAGCTGTTGATGACAGTCCTCTACCCTTTCTAAATAAGGTCATGATTAATCCTGTGATAAGCGGAATGAATATAAAACTGGAAAGTAACCCCTCCAATATCCTACCTCTGACTTGTTTCCTTATGGAAAGGGAGGGGTTTAAGAATTTTGGTGCATTGCTTTGCCTTTATAAAGAAATATTTATATACAAGGGCTGCTCCAAAAATAATGCCTCCTATTTTGTTATCTTGGCCTGGAACACCAGAGGCAGATGTTGGTGGTATGGCAGTGGAAGATGAACCTTCCTACCAGTATGCCATTATGTTTTGTTCTTGTGTGTCAGATTGCAGCAGAGATCTGAGATGATGGTAACTGACATAGTAACACACTTTTGCTTCGTTCACACATTTGAATTCCACTGCGTGGAAAAAAATTGCACTCATTGACATTCATGGACACTTGCTGAATGTTTAGTCCAGACTATAGATATGAGTACAGTGAGTGGTTTATTTTAGCAGTGGTAACAATTATGTGAAAGACAAGGCATGTTCTGGACCACAATACACAGCTTTCACACCATAAAATGAAGAGCATATCAGTTTGCTCATCTGCTAATGATGGTGACTATACTGAAAAATAGAACTTTGTAGCTGGGTATCTGCTCTGTCAAATAATGTTACTGGGCTTTATGCATCTGTAGTTTTCGTGGAAGGAAATAGGTTACTTTTGGACCAACTTACGTACGTATAAACTATGTACATTTTCATTCTGAATGTATGTGTTGGGTGGTTTTATACTGGTTCGTTTCTAGTACTGGGATGCTAGAAGGTAGCCCTTCAAAATGCCTTATTCATTTGCAAGGTAACAAGTATTTTTTTCAAATACTGATCTAATACTGTTAACTAAGCCTTTTCTCATAAATTTACAGCTGCTTCCAGTGCTTTAAATATACTTCTCTTTTTTTAAAGTCTATTTACAGAAAATGTATTGGCTCATCCTTGCA